TACATACACGAGCCAGGGATATTCATATAGAAATGAATACCACTAAGGAATGCTACGAAAACCAGTTTTTCTTCATTTTACTATTCAGATAATTGCCCTATGTTAATTTACACGAAGGGTCAAGTAATTAATTTCGATTTTCTGATTTATCCTTTTTGAGAGTAGTCTAATACATTTAATGTGTTTTTTAACAAAGTCTGTAATCTCACCTTGATGATGACGGCCACATGATGGACGATTACTTTAAAGAGGTCTATTGTGCTTGGCGCAATTCCCCAGCATCCACCGCTTCGGTTTCATATGAGACCAATTCGCGAATTTCATCAAAATAAATTTTTCTTCTAAATGACTAGTCGATTCACCATAATTCACTGAGAAAGGCTTAGCAACTTAATTTAGATTATGATTTGGGGTTAATTTCTTGCGATTTTTTGATTAACCTACATCAGGCCGATTTCTTTCACTATGTATACCATATGATGAAGATTTTTATTTACACGAGCACACATACAAACTGACAGGCATTCAAACGCACATACTTGTGGACTGACAGCGACCTCAAAGTTGACGAATCACAAAAATGCAAAGCCTTCGTGTATCAATAAAGCGTTTATGGATGAGTTGCTGAATGGACTTTACTCGGATGCTCGAATTGGTTTCAAGAATGGTACCCTGCAGCACTGATGTGCTTCCAGTCTACTGACAGGCGTAGTCTAAGCATTGTTATGGGGACCTTCATTTCGAATGAAAGGGCATGAAGATGAGATTCATTGGTCGATCTCACCAGATGAGGACGGATGAATCTCGTTGTACTGTAGCCGTTTGACTTTTATACGATATTCATGTTGACCCAGTACACAAGACTTCCTCCCTCGTTTCGAGTGAAAACGGGCTGCATAAAAACCGTGAGATTTTATGCATCACGCTTCCTTTATTATTTACAATTAATCTTAGGGGGGCACCCTCTTTGTAAACCTTAGGGAGACCATCAGCCGTGGGGGCCCTTGCATCTCTCTGGAGTAGTCAATTCATGTTCTACTTCTCCATTTCATCATTACTTACGCATACCTTAAGGGCATCTTTTAGTCTAGTCTCAAGTCTTTCGGTTGGGTCTCTCGATAAAGGTCTATACGTGTAATTGTCATTTAAATGTACTAGCATCTTTTCTAAATATCTTGATTTAGCCATGACTACCACTGCTCCACCTTTGTCGGCTTTCGTTATGATTAGATTATTATGACGCAGATATCTAGAAATCTTTCTAACATAACAATTTTTCTTGGGTGGTATTATAAAGTCAAAATGAGGGATCACCTCCAGTTCAATACTATTCCCTAACTCTTCAGGTAATCTATCAGATAAGTTAATTAATGCAAGGAAAGCATTACCAAACTGCACACATTAATAAGAACGAAAACGAAGCTTAGACAATCTCTCTCCGAACTATTGAATGATGTGGATTTCATGAAGTCACAAGACATAGCTGACGGATTAGAAAAGGCGATTGACAGAACTACGCGTCGTATACATAATAAGAAGCTCCGGAATTTAGGAGTTAGAATAATGTCGAGAAACCTTGCCCCAT